GTGTGCACGCCTCAGAGGCTGGGCCAGTCTATTACCGTAACCCAGCGTGTGCACGCCTCAGAGGCTGGGCCGGTCTATTACCGTAACCCAGCGTGTGCGCACCTCAGAGGCTGGGCCGGACCCGCCGTAACCCAACTTGTGCGCGCCTCAGGGGCTGACCCGGTCTTTTACCGTAACCCAGCGTGTGCGCACCTCTGAGGCTGAGCCGATATTCACCATAAATCAACTTGGGCAGCCGCATCGGGTCTCGGAGAAACGGGGTCGAGTCAGAGGCTGCAAGAGAGTGTTAGAATAACCCCAGTCTCTGAGGAACATGCAGAGGTTTAGCAAAGTCAGACAGCCAAGAAGTAATCAAAACACAGTTTATTCACAATTAATATACTGTATATCACATCAGTTTAATCAAATATAACATAATAGTAATTCTAACATGTGGCCACAATTCCTAAACTATATAATCCAATTAAAAGTATACAATTCCATACCTCAGCTGAGTGGACACGTAGTAACTGCAGAAAATATCTGATTACAGATGAAGATTCATACAGCACTATGTGGGAGCTCTGATTACAGATTGACTCCCCATGCTACTCTGGAGTTCTTCCTTAAGTATTCCAAACCAAGTGACAGACTGTATCAAAGGTTGTGATTGATTATTTTAGGGCCTGCTCTGATCTTCTGTGTGTGTCCTGGAGAACTATTGATCTTATCAATTCTCAGACCCTCAGCCAATCAAATTGCTTTAGGAGGAATGTGACAATTCCTTTGTTCTACCAGGTGATAAGATCATCCACTTTGGTGGGTTTAGTCTTATTTTCTATATTTCTCTTATGTGAGAACATGCCACTTTAATGTTGAGAGTATTGTGCCCGTCGTACTGTGACCATTCAAACGAGACCAAACATGGGTGTATGTGTCCCTAATGTATACCTCCTGTGTTAGTGTGAGTTAGTGAATGTAGGATGCATCTGTGTCTTGACGCAGCCAGGCCTTGTCACTGGAATCTGTCTGCAGGGTTCTGGCTGCCCAGTGGGGGTGAGGTGTCCCTTTTAATGTGGTGATCAGGTGATTTGGGTCCAGTCTTGTCGGAGCCGGTGGACCTTTGCTTCAGGACACTGGGTGGAGCATTACAGGCTTGCCAGAGCTCAGACCGACGGGGCCTGCAAGGACTCCAGCCTTACAGTTTTCAAGTATCATTAACAGCATTAAACAAAAAGAAGCCCATTATGGAGATCTCATTGTCCTCTAGTGCAGGAAATGATATCATTATGAAACCTGAATCAGCCAGTGACAAACGTAAAGCAGTTGACTTGAGCAAAGCCTTTGAATTATTCCTATCACAATATGAAAGATTACAGTTGAATGATACCTGGAAAGTAGTTAAAGTTTATCGTGCAGACTACAGTACAGACAAAAAATAATTTGTGCAATTTGCATTTTGAAATATGCATTATGCAAAGAATCACAAATTACAACAGGGATTGTTTTGTATTAAATGGTTCATGCAAAATGAAAGTGAAAGATCTGAGCTCTATAGGCTTGTGTACAATTTTAACTCAAAGAGGTATATTTAGAAATTTAGATTTTTTTTTATACAGGTAGATGAATGCAATGGATGTGACAATCTCTACAATGAAATTTATTATGATAACAACTGGCAAGATTCAGGAGGTGTTTTAAACCTGCACCATGAAGAGCGTCCTGACTCAGAGCATCACCATCTGGTTTGGGAGCTGGAACAAGCAGGACAGCACAGGCTGGCAGACCACCCACAGGAAATGGTGCAAGGACGGAGCAGTGAAAGAGAGAAATATGCTCGGCTTCCTTTACATAGTCCATGAATGCCTATGCAGAATAGCTGGTATTTCAGCCAATCAGATGGTAGGGATACAACCAGCTTGGTTTGGTCACGCTTTCAGTCCTGCGAGTAAGCAGGGCCATGTCAGCATGGGTATGGCTTGGGTACGACTTGCATAATTTACAATGGAAAACCGCTTCTTCACACTTCGGCTCGGTTCTTGGAGGCAGTGGAAATTTGCTAAAATTAAAAATAGAGCCCACCCAGCCCACATTTGCTTCTTCTCACTGCTGCAGTGAGGGAGGCCCCACCACAGCCTGAAGGCCGAGAAAGTGTGACTGGCGAACCGCTTCTTCCTTCCAGATGTTTCTATCCTGAAGGAGGACAATCCCTAGCTAACAAGACACTTAATAAATTTTATCATTCCATAATGTAAATGGCACAGCACTGCACTAATAATAAAATAATAATAATAATAATACATTTTATTTGTGGGTGCCTTTCAAAACTCTCTAGGTCACCTTACAAGGTAAGAGCAATAATTTTACACACAGTACAGGCCAGTGTGAATAAGTGGGTTTTGAGAAGAGATTTAAACTCAGTAAGTGAAGTAACTGTGGGTATGTGAAGAGGAAGAGCATTCCATAGCCGAGGAGCACTGCAGCTAAAAGATCTTAATCCTACAGTGGGTAGTAATGCAGAGGGTATAGAGAGAAAAGCAGCAGAGGAAGAACGGAGAGAGCGAGACGGTATACGTATGGTTCAAGGAGTTCAGAGAGGTATGGTGGGCCCAAATTGTGTAAAGTTTTAAAAGTTAGGAGAAGAATTTTAAAATCTATACGAGAATGGATTGGAAGTCAGTGATGTTACAAAGGTGAAAGTAAGAAGCCTGAATAATATTATTAATATGTGAAACAAAAGAGAGAGTGCTATCAAAAATAACCCAGAGGCTCTTAACCTGGGGGGAAGGAGAAAGAAAAGGTGCTAAGATTTGAAAGTGTGGACTTTTTACCAACTAAGAGTATTTCAGTTTTGGACCCATTTAATTTAAGGAAATTATGAGAACCAAACTTCTACATCCTGAATTGCTTTCAGAAGAGGCTCAGGTGGAAACACACTATTGGGTTTAGCTGAAAGATAAAGCTGAGTATCATCAGCATAACAATGAAAGTTAATGCCAAATTTCTTCCTGATCTGGTAACTTCCTACCTGATCTGGTAACTCATTTTAGCTGAATTAGCCTAGGTGGGTCTTAGACATATATAAACAGTGGCCGTAGCGCTCCCGTTTGACCGATCAAAACAAAATTTGGAGGGTCTGTCTATGGTACAGCCCTACAGTAGTGAGAGAAATTTGGTAATGATTGGCTGAAGCATGCCAGAGATATAGCTGTCTGATTGAAATGGGCGTGGCACCAGTAGAGTCAGGGTGCGGCTGGTGGCCATACCTTACCGAAAGTTTAATTTTTTTTTCTAAATCTTTAAAAGGACTGTCTCCTGATTTGAATGACACCAGATTTATGTAGGCTGGGCGAAAATTCTAGGAGGTTAACGAAATAACCTGTTTTCAGACAAATATAAATCATGCAAAAACATGCATTTGTCTGATTTGGTAGGACAAGCTAGGACTTCAAGGAAAAAGTAGGATTTTCAAATTATGCAAATTAGCAAAACATCTAAGTAGGCGGAGCTTCACAGTCCCATTGACTTTTTGGTAGGGCATGTCTGTCTATCAGCAGAAAAAAGAATTTCGATTGTCGGACATATAGGACAGGAGATATCGACCGAAACATCAGACTGAGTCGGACGAGTCGGAGGGGCTGAGTAGTGGGTAGGAATAGGCATCTTGCTGCCAAATTTGGTCGGCCTAGGACTTACGGTTTAGGCTGGGCATTCAGTTTTAGGGCAGAAAAATAATAATAAAAGAAAAAAAAATCTTAAGAAAAACAATAAGGTTTCATAGCACTATGTGCTTTGGACCCTTAATAATAATAAACTTGAAGCATAAAAACAGCAGCAATTACTGAAATGTTACAGTACAAACTAACTTTCCTGAAAATGAGGCAAGACTCAACTGTTGCCCTAACGAGGTATGATCTCTTACATTCTTGGAAGACAGCTGGAATTTCCGAAAAAAATACAGAAAAACAATGAATGTATTAGCATTTCATGACTGTAAACTAAGCAAAATGAAGGAAACGACTGATCAAAATAGTTGGACATCAGGGACAGAATGTTTCCATGCCAACATTGACTTGCTTTTAGGAAGTGAAGAACATGAATAGTAATCATGAAAATTGTCTTCACAGTTCAGAAAAAAATAGAACATGAACACTATAAGATAAACCCTGTCACAATCGGTGGTGCAGGCGAGCGGGCAAGTAGACGAGCTGACCCAGGAAGCAGGGTAAACGTGACTTTATTGCACAAAGACAGGACCGGGGAAACAAGACAGCAACGTCAATGACAGAACTGGGGACTACTGACTCAGACATGGACTAAATACAAGAGACAGGCTAAGGGTAACGAATCACAGGTGAGAACAATCCGGGAATCACACGAGGTAACGAGGTGGGCGTGGCACACATTGGGATCGGACGAAGCGGATCGTGACAAACCCCATATAATGTCTGAATTTATTCTTTATGGCCTTTGGTTCTATGGATGCCAGTCATAAAACTCTTGGTGAAAATGTCTGGCTAAGTCACCCAGATTCTGTAGGAATTTGCTACATTTTACAGGACAGCATTTTAAAATGTCACCTGATTTGTTGTATTATGCTAATGTTTTGTGCTATATTGAATGGCGCAAATAATACACGCGAAAAGGTAGTTGTAGTAGAAAATCTACTTTTGACGACAACAAGAACATTTAGAAAAATTAGATATTCTTAATTTGCATCAGAGAGAAAATATTGTGAATCCCACTTTTGTTAATAATAACATAAGAGCTTATGTCTCTTCAATAAGATCATCCCAAAACTGAAACTCATGCAATAAATTGGGCTAAAGTGAAGAACACATTAACACTCCCAACTCAAACCCAGTTTTATAAAATAACACATAAAATCTGTTCCACCGCTGTATTATAATACACAAAAATAGATTTTTAGAGTTATAAATGAAATGTAAAAACAGACATTACACAGGAGAAGGGCCACTACTTTCCATGGTTACTTTCCTATCTCAATATTCCTGAAAGTGCAATTACAGAAACGGAATATTAAAACTACTATTAAAAAATATTGTAACAATAAAAATCTGGAAAATCTATTACATGATTTTAAAGTAATTGCCACAAAAATGGACAATAATTATCACCTTGTCACATATTGTGCTTGAACGCCGGCATTTCATCCCTTTATAAAATCTAACATTTACATACATTTACAACATGCTGAAACTATTACTCTTTACAATTGCAAAATTCTAAGAAATTTCAAATTTGCAAACTTTCCATCAAAAATAACAGGCAAATAAGAGAATTTATGGGAATAAACTGGAAATTTGCAGGTGAGCCTACAAAAGGGAACTTAAATGTAGTTGAAAAAAAATCCTGAAGTGCGTGGGAGTAATCATGTGTGCGTAAAAACATCCCAAAATAAGCATCTGCATCAAAATGCAACGCTTATAAGTCACATTCTATGTTGTATTATTTGTATAGTTTGCCGTATCTGACAACTTGCACGGAGTTCAACATTTCCAAAATTCCCTAGCTTAACTTCCCATAGAAAGTTTCTGGACATTTCCACCCCTTTGCAACCCTATTACTCATAACTTTTTGTAAGAAATAGCCTCTCAGAGCTTCTTTGACTGGACACATAACCGAAGATAATTTCAATTTCCCCTTCACTTAGATCTAGGAAAACCCGGGAGACCTGAAACATCCCAGCCCGAGGAGAATTCCCACATACCATGCTACCAGGACTACAGTCAAGAGAGGCTGTTCCCCAACCTAGAGCGTTTTGTTACTGAAAGGGCTACAGTGATTCATAAATACTTGCTGCAAGTTTGCTTTCTGACTGCACAGCAGAATAAATCATATTTTCTCAGCATGAGCAGCTGGTTAGATGTTTTCTCCCCAACAAAAATGGCAAACAATTAAAACTAAGCCGTGTGAGTCTCCATACATTACACTATATATCATATATCACATCATATCATATCATATCATATATATCATCTTGGAGCAGCAATTTAAATATGCTATCAAAAGAAAATTGCTTCTCCCAAAACCAGAAAACAGCCTTAAGGGCAATAAAGCTACATTAGCTGTTACATACTCAGTAACAGGTCTTTCCCATGTCTACCATTTGGTTGGTGTATTTCTCCTCAGGAACAATAGGCTCATCCCACAGTGAGATTTGGTGATCAGGGGGCGAGGCGGAGCTCAGCCTCAGCCGGTGAAGCATATGGTGTCGAAAATTCATGCACAAGCAGCTGTAAAGTATGGGGTTTAACAAAGTGTGCAGATAGCACAGCGCAGTGGTCAGAGCCAAAGCTGTACTGAGGGCCACTGGGGTCTCAGAATAATCAAAGTCTTTCCTTCTATACATGGTGTCCACCATTAAGGTTATGCTAAGCGGTGTCCAGCAGATAAAAAAGGCCACCACTAGTGCCAGGATAAGCAGTAGGTTCTTTTGTGTTTGTAGTCTTTGTGACTTACTGTGCAGCAACAGCATTATGGAGACGTGAGAGAAGACCATGACCACTGTGGGGATGAGGAAGCCGAGAGTGAAGTACAGCAGGTGGGAAGCCAAACGCCAATTGCTGCCATTGGTGGAATACCCATTGTAGTTGTAGTCACATTTAAGCCTTTTTAATTGCTCTAGGAAGACCCAGTCAGGAATAGACAGGATGAGGCAGAAGAACCAGAAGAACAGACAGCTGGCCTGCACCTGCCAGGGCTTTCGACATGAATACATCTGCACAGCGTGGACGATGGACAGGTAACGATCCAGACTTATGCATGCGAGCAGGAAGATGCCACAGAAGAAGCTGATCTGAAGAAAAAAAAAATGAAGAAAAACATTGAGGTTAAAGACAGCATGAGAGCAGAACGATACAGAAAAGCAAAATGAAAAAAAAAGAGGGAAGTGAAACAAAATGATACTAGATGGAGCCTTTAAACTTTGCATGCTATTTATCCATTTCTGCAGTAGCTTCACTGTTTTACAGGGGGTAGATCTAAAACACTTTGATGTATTTATATTAAAGCGAATGCTTTGAGTAACATCTAAACTACAGCTGAGGGAACCCAAACAATCATTCATTATACACCCCAAACACACCACACATTAAAAATACTAAGTACAATTACAATAAATTATTACTACACACTGAGTAACAATATCCACATTAGAATTTACACCAGCCGCTACATGTAGGACCAGAGCAACAAAAATCTTCAAGCATCCATCCCACCCCAATAACTCTCTGTTCTGCCTGCTGAACTCAGGCAAACGGTTCCACAGCCTTATGACCAGAACTGAAAGGTCAAGGAGAAGCTTTTTCCCCAGGTCATAAGGCTCCTAAACCAGGACAAGTGTCTCAGTGCCCCTAGATGGTAACACTGACATCACTCTGTTTACACACTTTGTACGAGCGCCCATAATCCTATGAGTGCTGCTTACATTGAGTTCATACTATCCAAATTGTCGGTACATTTCTCAGGTCTCTTGCACATTGCACTTATATTGCACAGCACAATCACTTTTACCTTATCACTTATGTATAGATTATGTACAGCTGAACATTACATATCTTATTTTATATTGTTATTTTTCTATATTTTGTTATTCTCTTATCATGCAAAGCTGCTCGGAGTAACCAGGCTTACATTTCACTACATGTTGTATGTGTACTACTGTATGTGACGAATAAACCTCTTGAATCTTGAATCAAATAGGTTATAACTTTGCAATACAATATAATTTTGACTTAATATGTTATAGCATTTTCATCTGACCAGTTCTATGCTCCCTGTATCCCCAGTTAAATAGTCTATGCACAGTGTACAAAAGAATTGGCCCATGGAAGGATCAGCCACTACCTTGAAAACGGCTCCCATCAGCTTGCAGAGAGGAGTTCCAATGGTCCAGTCCCAGGCAGCTTCAGCAGCCCAGAAAGGCAGCGTGATGAGCAGGAGAAGGTCAGCCACAGACAGGTGCAGGATGAAGGTATCTATATAGCTCCAGCACCGCTGCGACCAGCACAGAACCACCAGAACTAAGACATTCCCAAGCAGGCCTCCAAGCAGGACCAAGGAGTACAGAATGGGGATGAACACAGACCGAACCTGCTGGAAGTTATCCACGTCGGTTTTGTAATCAATGTAGTCATATGTGGTATTTTCCAAGAACAGTCCGTCCAGATCTAATTCAAACTTTTTCTGTTAGCAAACAAGCATATTTAAACATTAGGAGTGACATTTAATTACACGGTCATGGCAACTTCAGACTGCAGTATCCCCGTTGAAACTAAGGACAAGGCATATTTCTGCAAATATGTTTTTACATTAATCAGTACATAATTAATCGATAAGTCGCCGTTTTGCTGAAAATATGGTTTGTTTTATAAATTTATTTATTACAGCTTTTCCTTAATTAGCAGTTCGTTAGCATAAATTCAGAATGAAATAGCAGTAATTTAAATATCCGTGTTATACAGAACACAAATTTGAAGAGTTTCAGCATTAAGATCAAGAAGATGACTTATCTGTGAACAACGCTTTTAACACATGACTGTCGCATGTGTCGCCAGTCATCAAAAAAACTCAGGCACGGTAACCAGAACCATAAATACATCTGCGTATAAGTCGATTATTTGTTTATATATATATATATATATATATAAAAATCTAGAAAGATACAAAAACATGAGCCACATTTAAACATTCATCACTCGTGACATAATAATGACATTTTGTAGCCCACAAAAAAAAACAATGTTCCGCTTTCAGTTTTGCTTTAGGTCATACAAGTTCATGTAGATGGCAATTATAAGTACGTTCCAAAGTTTAAGATAAGCGATGTACTATATTCATATATAACACATATACATATATTAAACATACAAAAATTAAATCCGCAATAAAAGATGGCAAAGATATACAACTTCGAACGAACTTACCAAATTGTCCATGACTTTGCTCTTCGGAGAAGTGTCTGCTGACGTCGATATTTTTCTTCTGCGGCTCACATAGGATATGGCAACAGCGCTTTGGCTGTTTCGCAAGACTGGGAAAACACAGATATGCATCAAGAAAGAAATGCAAAGAATGTCAAACTGAAAGCCAGTGGAAAAGCAAGATCGAACGTCTCCCTAAGACTCTACAAGTGAGCTTCGATCCTCCCAGCGTTCATGCAAAGAACGTTTCCTTTTTTGAACGTCATTTCAACCCGCGAAAATAAAAATAGCAACTAAAACACAAGCCGTTTTAGAATCAGATATCGCTACAATATAACAATGTAATGTTGTTGAGACAGCTAAATCACAAAATACTAAACCAAGAAATTCGACATTTGTAGGGTAATAATTATACTAACAACATTTAATTAGTGGTCCCATGCACTGCATAGGCGGTATTAGCATTTCAGTTCAAAGATATATAACCATCTTCTAAATGCATATCCGCATCGCGACGGAGCTGGAAGAAGGCGGCGTACGGCACAAGCTGGGTAGGGGGTACACTCTGGATGAATTGCCAGTCCGTCACACATGCGGCAGGAGCACGGAGAATTTACAGACTCCACACAGCATAGAACCCGCAACTTTAGATGTGCTAACCACTGGGCCACCCCTTAAAAGAGATCATTTAAATATATAACGGTCAAAGCAGTTATATTTTAAACGTCAAACAATGATGTTATACACAAAAGAAAAAGTAGGGGGAAAGTGTTTAATAATGGAATAATTTAAGCATACATTCAGACTCAGGACGGCATATTCAAAAGATGGCCGTGAATTAAAGGGAACTCGAGGTGGTTCTCTTATGAGCACTCCGTGTCTTTCGCATAGTAAAGAACTGATTTCCCATTGGACACTGTGAAGGGGGGTCGGGCGACGTGGTTGAGCAAAGGCAGTTGAGCAGGGGGTGGAAATTACACTGCACAACAAAGTTTTTGCTTCTTGAACACTGTTGGGTGTTCCTTATAGATTTTTCGCTGCTGATCACAAAAATTCATCCAAATTTGCCCAGCAATTAATAGAAATCTTCAGTTTTGTCATGTATTTTTCTCATATTTGTGTCCAAAAATTTTCATTTCTGTAAGAGACCTATCAACAATGTTTTGTACAGTCTGAGAATGGAATCAGGCCAGGTTGGAAACTGTTTTGTGGAAGTTTGCTGCCTGGGCAAGCTGGAGCCAGCTTGACACTGCTTCAGCAGGCTAGAAAAGTGGCTTGCATACACAGATGCTGCTCATTGGGTTAATATAGAACTGATAGTGTGTATGTATTGTTTCAGAATATAGCATTGCTTCAGTAGCAATGTAACAAGCAAGGTAGATGCTATAAACATTTACAGGATGATTGGTGTCGGTCCATATGTCTCGTCTTAACAGCCGCAATACATTCTGCTATATTCTGTAAATATACGCTTGTACCTCAGAGATGCTCAATGACTGCTCTTGTGAAGAAAGCATATCATCTGTACAGCTGTAAAATCAGTAATCGAGACAAGTAATGGGCACCTCACATTTGTTGTGCGACATGTGCTGTCTGTCTGAGACCCTACCTCAGAGGTACTTGAAAGACAATGTCGTTTGCTGTCCCGATGTTATGGCAAGAACAGCAAGACCATGTGACGGACTGTTACTTCTGTTTGACTAATGTGTATGGTTTCTCTGCCAAAAGTAGTCAATTGAATACCCTAATCTGCCTTCAGCAATGAGACCCGTGCCACATGACTACAGTCTTCCAATTCCAAAACCACCAGAGGAATGTACCTTAGACGAGCCAGATGAACAAATTGCAATGCAGGGAACTAGCAGGGACATTGATCCGGATTTTGAACCGTGCTCATCCAGTGATCCACATCTCATAACACAGTCAGAATTAAACAATCCGGTCAGGGATTTGGGTTTGTCAAAAGCAAAAGCCAAATTGTTGGGTTCGAGACTGTTGGAATGGTGTTTGATGTCACCAGGTATTAATATTTCTGCTGACTACTGTTTAACAATGTAATGTGATGCACCTGACATTGAATACAAATGAAAATCAAGAGCAAAATTCTAATTATGTTGAATTTAATAGTGTATGAGAAACATAAACACGATTGAATACATTATTGCTGGTAAAGAGTTAACAGTTCCTTTGTGATGCAGCAAAACCAAAGTTATATGTGTGCATACCCACCAGGTACCTGTCTCAATCAGCAAAAACTTTCTAGGAAGCAAAACTTTTCAAAAAATTGGGCAGTGTTATAAATCTTTTCAATGAATCTGTATTTTAAAGGTCGTTTAAATAAATAATTCTTTCAGAAGCAGTCATTGAAGTTTGCACTTAAAATTGTTTGGAGTGTTATATAATTCAAAATACTATATAGAGGGGCGTAGCAAGAAATTTAAGGACGCCTGACAAGATGTGTCCTTGGGCGGCAGATGGGGAGAAGTGTTACGCTTTTAGGCCCTGGGTCTCAATGCTCCTCCTTTAACCCTGATTATACATTTCTCATAGTATATATTTTATATTCCTTTATGTATTGTACTTCACGTTAAAAGCAGGGGTGGAAAGTAACAAAGTAAATTTACACATTACAAGAACAGAGTATATTTGTATATTCAAATATCTACTTTTACTTAAGTATTGTAACATTCAATAGACCTAAGAATTGCAGTGACAGGAACGAGTTGAGTCAGGTGGAAGAGATGGAAATAATGCCCTTTTATTAGTTCTTGAATCTTGGATTTAAGGTAGCCCATTTTAAACATGCTTTATCTTCTTTCACTTACACTTACCCCAGACTACCTTAAATCTAGTTAACCAACAAATCTCACTTCCTGATACAGGCTCCACAAGTACATAAACACCCACTGTAAAAAAAAAAGGGAAAAAAGTCAAAGGGTCACATGACAAAGTGTAAACCAGAGTGTGGGGACAGGCCGCTGCAAGTCGTAATAACTTGCATTTAGCTGACAAGCAGGACCATCGAAGGTGTATCTAGTAAATCTACAGATTGGCAGTTTTTAGGACTGGTACTAAAAGATATTCTCTGGCTGCATTTAAGGGAGCTTTTAATTTTCAAGTCAAAAAGGGAAAATGGTGGGTAGTGCTGATTAGCAGTGTTGTTTTTTGTCTTTTTTTTTTTAGTTTCTGTGGAAAACGATCGATTGGCAGTGTAGGGGAACCGTCCACTGGCCCAATGGCGGAATCCAATTGGACAGTCGAAGGCTTGAAATGCGTGTGGATCCTTCCGAGCGCTTCTGTAAAGTTACTTACCCGTTTTAGGTAAAGACCGAATTATATCTGACTCCAATTTAATTAAAGATCTTTATTGGCAATTTTAGTCATGACATTTCTGTTATTTAGATTACTTCTGGGCTGTGCCGATAAGGCAATCCGTGGATCTGCTATGTAGGTTTAGAAGTTGGACAACCACTACGTAAGGGATAACTACCGGCTGCCTGTACATTATCCCGCTTATTACACGGCTACTTGCCACATAAGGAAAAAAACTGGACATGAATATGAATTTGAAACATTTTATTGGCATATTTGTTTTAAGTTAACATTTTTAAACGGTAATCTTTGTTGGCGCGGAGGGATTTTAAACATACAAGTAGTACCGGCTATGCGTTATTACTTTGGAGTGGTTATTATTTGAAAAGAACGAACCTGCAAATGTCTCAACTGACCAATCAGAATCAAGCATTCCAGAGAGGCTTGCCAGAGCTCAGACCGACGGGGTCTGCAAGGCCTCCAGCCTTACAGCAGGTTGATTTAATTATGATTTAAAAACACATCATGGGCCTAAAGCAGTGGTTCACAAACACCACGTACCATCTCAGGAAGTATTTGCTCATGAAGTTGCGGGGGGTGTTGGAAAAGTAGGCTAAAAGCTGAATGGTAACAACAATTTGGTTCCTTAGTAACTCAGATACCCCGCGACCCAGTAGGATAAGCGGGTTGGACAATGGATGGATGGATGGATAGTAACTCAGATACTACTCAAGTAGAAATCATGAACATGGAAATATAGTGCCTACTTGAGATAAAAGATGCGTTATGATTCATCAATCCACATGTAGTGCAAAGGATAGGTGGTGATCGATCTCCTTACCCAGGAACTTAAAGCTCTCAACCCGTTCTACCACCTGCCCCGCCATCCTGAGTGGACTGAAGATGAGGTTGTGGTGTCAGGTGTCTGGCTCAGCCCACAACAAAGTTCCTTAGTCTTGCTGATGTTCAGTTCCTGGAGCCAAAAGTCCGTGGTGTCTCCGTACTGCCTGTATGTGGACAGGGAGGCCACCAAGGCCATGTCATCAGCATATTTAAAAAGAGACAGGCCATTGCTATTGCAAGTAATTTCATTTGTGTATATAGAGAACAATATGGGTGACAGTACACAGCCCTGTGGGACTGCAGTATTTAAAACAATGTTGTTGAATATAAAATCATTCATGTTTAGGTCTGTACTTTAAAAAGTCCATAAAACAAATGTTGTGTTGACCTGCAAAGCTTGGAGGCGGAGTAAAAGTGTACTTGTGTTTGCTAAATTAAAAGCAGATGAAAAGTCCAAAAATAAAATCCTAACATATGAGATTGGAGAATCGAGGTGCCTAGCCACTATGTCCTCACAAACGCTAAAAAATTTGATCACATTAGCCCTGTCTTATCCTCCCTTCACTGGCTTCCAGTTAAGCCTCTGATTGACTATAAAATACTGCTATTAACTTATAAAGCACTGAATGGCCTTGCACCAGAATACCGTAGTGAGATGCTGGCCTCGTACAGCCCTCCGTGCTTGCATCGTTCTCAAGGCGCAGGATATCTGTTAGTACCTAGGGTAGAAAGAGCTACGGCAGGCTGCAGAGCTTTCTCCTATAGAGCTCCTCAGCAGTGGAATGGTCTTCCACCGGATGTGTGGGATTCAGGCTCACTCTCAATATTCAAGTCTAGACTAAAAACATACTGGTTCAGTCTGACCTATGGGGACTCTAGTTCTAGCTTTAGCTAACTCCTCACTTCCAGTTAGATCTGTAGTGTGAGGTGTAGAGCTGGGTGGGGATCGGTGCCACTGGCTTTGGATAAACTGAGCTGTCAGTGCTGTCACTCTAGCTTCACAATCCCTTGGAATTGGAGTACTGACATTTCAGGGACTCCCCATGCCTGCATTCCCACTTGCCTCTCCCTCTCCTACTTATGCTGCCATAGCCATATCTGCCGGAGCTTTTACATTGCACTTACATATTGCACTAACCTAACTGTTAACACTGTCTATTGTCTCCCCTACTTTGACTAATTGCATATTTTTTTCCCCTACCCCTCCTGGGGTATGCCGCCTGGAGACCCCAATCTATCAAGATATCCTGCATACTCTGCTACATGTGACATCTCCACTACCCATGACATCCTTCTGTACAGCTAGCCCTTCTGCCTGTGCCATCCTCCATGTATGCCCGGCTGCTTTACTACTGGTTGCCCGGCGATCGGAAGGAGCGCCAATACCAGCTTGTCATCACCTCCTTGCTCCCTGGTTGTTACTCATATTTTATGACTTAGACTGTGTGACTTGCCACTTAGCCATCTCTATGATTTGACTTTCCTTGCTGGCCCCAGGAGAATGGGCTCCCCCTTTGAGTCTAGTCCCTCCCAAGGTTTCTTCCTCCTAGGGAGTTTTTCCTTGCCACTGTCGCCTCTGGTTTACTCACTGGGGGCTTTGGGCAGGAATGCTGTAAAACCCTTTGAGACAGTGT